AAATTATGATGATAGAAAAATAAATTAAAATATCAATAAAACTTTTTTTTCAAATGACTTTTATAGTTTAGCTATCTACGTTAAAAATCTGTTCCATTAAAAATATGCCTTTAAGAAACCCTTCAAAATCATTTCTGCATTTCTCAGTCTGCCACCCTCCTCAGGTAGTATACCATATACGTATGTGTACATATATATGTGTGTATGTATACATACATGCATGAATGCATATTTGTTCTTGGAGTAAAAAAGACCTGGGTTCAAATGCTGACTCAGATTAGCTGTGTTACCCTAGTTGAGTCCTTAACCTCTCTGGGCCTCAGTTTCTTTACCTGTAAAAGAATTAGGCCTCTGATGGCCCTTTCAAATGTAAATCTCTGACCTGTTGATTCATGAAAATTTCCCTTTAATTTTTTTGCATATGTATATACTTATATGTATATATATAAACACAAATATACATATATACATGTGTATATGTACAGACATATGTGTATACATACATATATATCTTTTGATTTTGCTTTCTTTGATCTGTTCTTTATCCAAATTGTCATCTCTCTGCTTCATAATCATCTCTTATGGCATAATGATACTCTATGACATTCCTCATCACAAATTACTCAGCTGTTCCCTGATCAATTGGCACTCACTGCGTCTCCACTTTTTTCCCCTTCCCCAAAGATACTGATAGAAATGTTTTGTCATATATGGGACCTTTCTTTCTGTCACTGATCTCCTTAGAAGTGTTGGCCTAGGAATGGGATTACCTGGTCAAAATGTATGAATAATGTAATGACTTTTTCACATAATTCCAAATTGTTTTCCAGGTCAGGGTATCAGTGTGCTTGTCCTCCTATATTCTCTCTAACATTGGGAATTTCAGACTTTTAATGATAATAATAACAACATTTATATGGAACTTCAAGGTTTTGAAACACTTCAGAAATATTCTCTCTCTGTGTTATCACAATAATCCTGGGAGGTAGGTGATATTATTATCTCCATTTTACATATGACAAACACAAGTCAAGTGACTTGCCCAGGATCACAGAGCTAGTTAAGTGTATGAGAGAGGATGTGGACTTAGGTCTTCCTGACTCCAGGCCCAGTGTTCTATACACTGGGCCACATAGCTTCCCGTCATGATCCTGCCAATTAGATAGGTGGGAGGTGAAACTTCATAGTTGTTTAAATTTGTACTTCTCTTATTATTACTGATTTGGAGGATTTTTCACATGGTCATCGATTTATTAAACATTCAAAATTCTAAAAACCATTTGTTCATATTCTTTGCCCATTTATTTATTTATTGGAAACTGACTTTAGGTCTCATGTATTCACTTTTGCTCATCCCACACATCTAGTCTGTTGCCAATCTTGGCATTCCTTTGTTCACAATGTCCTTCACATGTCCTTCATTTCCTCTTCATGTTCTCCTTTCTCTCCACTCATAGAGCTACTATACTAACTCAACTCCTTGTTACTTTTTTCCTTGGAAAATAAAATTCCAATTGTTCTCAATGTCTTGGGTCTGTGCTCACTCCAATCTATCCTCTACTCAGCTGCCAGAGTGATTTCCTTAATGTATAAGTCTAATCATGTCACCTCCTTACTTATTAAGCTCCAGTGGCTCTATATTTTCTCTAGAATCAAATATAAAATTCTCTGATATCTAAAGCTCTTCATGATGGATGAACAATCGAATGAAGCATTAAGCACTTGCTATGTACAAAGCACTGGGCTGAGGTTGGGGGATACAAATAGAAAAATGAGGCCGTCCCAACTCTCAAGGGGTTCACTATCTACTGGTAGAGAAAACACAGATGGAAGATTTTCAAACGGGATTCAGAGAGAATAATAATGCCTCTTTTTAAATATAATTTTCACTTTTCAAATCACTTCGGTTTTGGATGTTGAACCATTTGGTAGTTCCAGAGATTTTAATGGCAAGAGCTTTCCGTCTTCAGTAGCTATGGCTACAGCATCTGCAGGAGCAGTGGCCAGGTTTCATTTCTATAGGGGTTGCTCCCCAGGATGATGACTAAGGGGCCTGAGCTGAAATCATTGCTGTTCCCAAGACTTCTGTGTTCCTCTTCTTGGGGCTGTCTCCATTAGGATCGGAGGTAGATGGTAGTCAAGGAACTGGTGAATATTTGACTTGCTGGGCACATGCTGCTTCCTCAGAATGTGTTACTGCTTCAGTTAGGCTAGATCACCTGCCCTTTGGGGGATAGTTCCCCTCCACAGTGTGTACTTGGATGATGGCTATGTGGGCTGGGCTGGAAGAAAGGCTAGGGGTCTAAGGAGTACTGCTAGGCTCAGGATTCTTGTTATTATCTACCTAGCCCCTTCCTGCCTTTCCAGTTTTTTTACCCTTTAATCTCTACCATGCATTCTTCCATTCATCTTTGCAGGACTACTTGCTATTCCTCACATACTGCACTCTATTTGGAACTTCATTCCTGGACTTTTATACAATCTTGATTGGTGACTTTATATTTTAGGAACACCTCTATCTCTCATTTGATTAAGAATCATTTCCCTAATCATAGATCTAAAAGATACCGCCTACTGTTTTCCTTTAATTAAAAAAAACCTATTTGACTTTTTATATTTACATCATATATCTGAGTAAAAACCATTGTGGTATATGGTGTAAGAAACTGGTCTAAATTTGACTTCAGCCAAATTTTGATGAACTTCTTGTTAAGTAAGCAGTCCACAATTGGTTTTGTTGTAGGGCTCATCACACCTTGGGGTATTCTGTTTGATTTCTTCATATCCATTTGGTCTTTTCTACTCTTCTACTTTTAACTTAATTATATTGATTATTACTGCTTTACATTAAGATTTGAAGTATGGTAGCATCAAGACCCTTTGTTTCTCTCTTAAACAGCCATTTCCCTTGAATTTCTAGACTTTTAGTTCCTTCATATGAATGCTGTCTCTTTTTGGTTTGATTTGTAACTTTGGGGATAGGCCTAAATTTGTAAATTAATTTAAGTAGCATCATCCAGTTCATATATGTATATATATATATATATATCTAATATATGCTTATATGTACACACGTGTGTGTGTGTATATGTGTGTGTGTGTGTGTGTGTGTGTGTAGCCCAACCATGAACAACGAGTACCTTTTCAATCATTTAAATCTTCCTGTATTTCTATAGAGAGTACTTTATAGTTGTAATTCTACAACTCTTGCTGGGTAATACCACATTTGATGAGTTTTATAGATATTTGTAATGGAATTTCTCTTTCTAGTCTTATATTTTAAGCCTTTTTTCTTTTTACTCCCTTATATAAATTTTGCGTTTGGGTCAGACTGAACTAGTAGGCATTCTTTGTGTGCTATGCCATCTCTTTCTTCTGTCAATGCACACAGGCTATCTCCTGCTCCTAGAATGCATTCCCTCCTTATTTCTGCCTCTCAGAATCCTTATCTTTTGTCAAAATTCAGCTCAGGTGCCGCCTTTGTGAGGCAGCCTTTCCTAATTCCCAGTGGTTAGTTCTACCTCCTTTCTCAGTAATTTTAAGCCCTTGGAGGGGAGGGATTATTTTGGTTTTTCCTTTGTATCCTCAGTGCTTAGTATCATGCCTCAAACATAGGTGCTAAGGAAATTGTTTTTAATTGAATTTTTGCATTGATATACAGATAAAGAATACAAATTGTGTTAAAAGAGTTCAGTTAAAATAATATATCAGCAATTCAAAGTGTGTTGGAAGATAAATTACATGGTGAGGCTGTCAGTCACAAACAAAACAGGTGATGTAAAAAGTTACTGCAGCCACATTCTAAAGACTCTCCTAATAATTATGTAGCATGGAAAGAAATGTGAGCTATAGGCCAGTGAGTTTGCCTTTGATTCCTAACAAAATTCTGCATTATGGTATTGATGTATTATTAAAGAGATTGGTGAACATCCAAAAAAGAATCAGTGATGACAATGTCAGAAAACATCTCCAGGAAACAGGTAGTTCTATGCTAACTTTCTTTCTTTTTTTTTTTTTATGGAATTGCTAGATTGGTAGATCAGGGGAATATTGTAGTTAGAGCTTATTTTGATCTGAACAAAGCATTTGGAAATAACTCTCATTCTATTCTTTTGAGCAAGGTATAGACAAGTAGGCTAGATGTTCATGCAAGTTGAATGCATTTAGCATTGGTTAAATGACCACACTCAAAGCATAGTCATTGCTTGGCCTGTCACAGTTGAATATTTTTTATGACTACTCATTTCTTACCTAGCCTTAATCACTGGATGGGTGTTTCCTCAGACTGAAATCTGGGAAAGACCTTAGCTTTAAAAGTCCAAGATCTCCCACTATATCTGGGGCCATCTCCAGGCATCCTGATTTATATTTTTCTACTGAACTTATATGGCTCCAGAGGAGAAAGTGACGCTGGCAACTTTGCATAGCCCTCTCACACAAATCCAATTCACTTGAAAGTCATAGCATCACCTTCCTGATGCCATGGTCTTCTTTGAGAATGAAGGACAAAAAACAACAATTTTTATCATTAACTTTAATAAAAGCATAACTAAAAACTAACAATAATAATAACTAATCCAATCTGTAGGTGGCACAGATTGGGAGAGATGGTTAAAATGTTGGAGATAGTATCAGGTTCAAAAAAATCTTGTTAGGTCAGAGCACTTGGCTAAACCTTCTGCAAGTGAAGCTTAAAAGGGATAAATATAAGGCCTTACCTCTAATGTTTTAAAAGTTAATTGTATAGGTTCAAAATGGAGAAAAGAAGGTTAGATAGCACTCCATCTGAAAAAAAGAACTGGGTGTTTCAGTAGACTTCAAGTTTAGTATGAGTCAACAGTATGATCTAATTATATCCAGAAAAATAATGTATAGAATCCTATATATTTCTTTAAAACATAAGAAAAAATGGAGTTGGCTGCTGTCAACTTGTTCTTGAATTTGAAAAATTGTGTTATAAATTTTATATGCTTAGTGTTGATTTCTTTTTTTTTTTCAAGGCCCAATGTGTGTGAGGAAGAAGTTCTGGATATGGTTGGCCTTCCCCAACCGTGTGTCCAGCCCTTTACTCGTATGGTAAAGCTATGGAAGCAAGGCTGTACTGGACCAAGATGGTGCATAGAATATGTAAGAAGGTAATAGTTCATCTATCCCCCCAATTTCAACGTCTTTTTTTTTTAACTGAATAGGGTCTAGATTTTGAGTGTATTAATCCAAATGTTTCTTAGTAAAATATTTTTGTAAATAATTCCAGACAAGAGCTTTTCAGCTTTGGTCCTAGGGCTTGTCTGTGATGATCGTGTCTGGATATTTTGGTTAGCTGCCATGATACTGCTTTCAGGCTCTGCTTAGACTTAGGTTATTTGGGCTTTGATGCTGCCACTACTTCTAACTTCTAGAAAGGCATTTAGCTGAGGCCTGAAGACTAGTGGAACAATACAGACAAGGAGTGCCGTGTCAGTGTACTAAATTGATAGCCTACTTGAAACCTCAGGGAGTCAACAGTTTTCAATTAATTTCTGACCCACCCTTGACATTTTTGCAGCAGTATGAAGCCTTCAGTGACTTGAACTTTATCAGAGCCTCTAGCTCTCACTTGGTTGTGGCCCATAAGAAGAAACAGAAGAAGTTCTTTGCTTTTGAAAAATGACATCCCACTCTTTTAAGGTGTGAAGACTTCAGCAAGACTTTTGCACAATAGCTCTTACCAAACATTCAGGGGCTTCTTTTATTTGTGGGAGGAACACTGAGATCCAACACTTCAGAGAGTTCTATATAAATGTATCAGATATGTGTGGATTCAGGAGGGAAAAGTGTTTGCCTAAACATAACTTGGAACTTTTCAAAGAAATCATATGTGTGGCATGATTAGATATGATATCATATATGTATATGCATGTGCATACATACACACAGATACATGTGTGCATGCATACATACATGAGTTTGGGACTTTTTGAAAAGCATTATCACCAACTGGGCTAACCCTGTTGCTTTTCACATCTTGCTCTGGTCACATTAGTTAAATCAGGGCAATCACTGCTTCTGGAAAGAGCGTGTCAACCAACTTTCCTTTGGTTCCACTCAGCATCCCTGTCATTTTCCAAAGCAAAATATCCTTTCATGAGCAATTTTCCTATATATCTTTATATATATATATATATATATATATATATATATATATATATATCTTTATCTTTCTTTCTTAGAATATAAACTACTTGAGGGCAGGGGTAGATGTCTCACTTTTTCATTTCTATTCCCTGACTTAGCACAATGCCTGATACATAGCGAACACTTAATAAATGCCCATTGATTAATCCATCCTTATACTGGAAGGTCATGAGTGATAGCATATAGAGAGAGACTCAATCGAATATTCCAACATGGAATAATTTGACACTGCTACTCTTTATCATGCAGATTGTTTGGATTAATTGTTACCTTCAGGGACACATGCTTTGATCATTGTTCCACTTTCAGGTCAATGTGATCATTGGATCATAGGTTTACAGCTTGAAGAGATCTTAGAGGTCATATAGTTCACCACCCTCCTCCTGCTTTTTTTTTAACCACATGAGGAAAGTGAAACCCTGAAAGATTGTGTCTAAGTTGAATCTAAAGTCATAGAGACACTGTAGTAAAGTAGAAAAATGTTTTGGATTTGAAATCCTACTCTGCAGCTTGTCACTTATGAGATCTTGGCTTAACCTCTCTGGGCTTCTGTTTCCTTATCTGAAAATGAGGTGACTAGATGGCATGACTTCTCAGGTCCTTTCCAGCTCCCCATCTATGACACTATGGGATAGAAAAGGGATTTGAACCTCAATCATCTGATTCCAAACTCAGTGTTCTTTTCACTGCATCTCACTTCCTCCCGTGAAGTGAGAAGTCAAAAGAGATCAGGTTGGGAATCCCCTGGACTTGCCTGGGATCTCTCCTTTCTCCTGATTGCTACTAGGAATGATTTCATATGCAAGCATTAGTGTTCTTTAAGCATTTTGTTTGTTTACTAGTAATATCAGGTAGAGTTAACAGAGGTCCATAACCACAGTGATTTTTCAGATATGGGAAAGTATATCCAAATATGTCAGCTAGAGATTTGCATTCTCATTCTTTCAATCATTTCATAAGGATCTACAAAAGTGCTATATGCACTGCACTATCCTAAGAAGTGAGTGAGATAAAAAGAAAACATAATGTGGTCCCTGACCTCTAGGAACTCATGATCTAACTGAGGTCATGCAACTCTCAATTGAACTACAAAGAAGCGCATGATTTTTTTTTCCCAGAACAGACTTATTATCTCATTGCTCTGAGGAACTTGCCACAGAGAAAATTTTCCCTACAAACATAGACTGGCAATTGTTCTGTGATTTAATAGACTTAGAGAGTTGGTGAGGCATGGAGAGTTTAAGTGACTTGGCCAGGGTCATGCATGCTGGCATGTGTCGAGGGGGAGGATTTGAACCTGGGTCTTTCTGGCTTTGGAGGGCAGCTCTCAATCTGCTGCACAAGGCTGCTTCTCCACCTGTGTGGGATTAGCTACTCCAGTGCATATTAAGAAAGAGCTGTGACCTCATCAGTGGAGGTATTTTCTTCAGTGGCACAGATCCCAAACCCATCCGTGCCTGCCCATCCTGTGTGACTCCTATCTACACTCTTTGAGAAGTGTGCCTCTGGAGGTCCACCCAAGGTGCTGGAGGTCTTCCTCTAGCACGTTAGACATCACTTGTATACCAATGGAGAGCATAAGTGGTCTGGTGCTTATTATCTCTTGCTCTTGCTATGTGATTGGCCCATCCCACCCCCCCCACCCCCCAGTCTTTCTGATGGTATCCTTAACGCCAATTATTTGCACAAATGTACTTGGCAAGGTCACTGCCTGCTCATACCCACTGCATACCTCTCTATTTCCCTGTAGGTAACCTGTAACCTAAATTATTTAGAGACTATAATATTTCTTAACTTGTAGCAATTCAAAAATTAGTATATGAAATTAACATTGTTGTTCAGAGAAAAATTGTGGGGGAGAGAGAGAGCGAGAGAGAGCGAGAGAGAGAGAGAGAGAGAGAGAGAGAGAGGTCATTGTGTGCTGAAGCTGTAGGTAGTGATGGAGAAAGTAGGACTTAACTGGTCTTTAAACGAGGGTTGGTAGGGGTGAGCTGTGAGACGGGAGAAGATTCTATCCAAGTAGTGGAAACCATCATAAACAAAGACTAAGAGTTAGTAATGACAGCACAGGGTTTGTGTTGAGGCATTAGGGGGAAGATGCAGCATGACATAGTAGAAAGAACTCAGGATCTGAATTTAGAGAACCTGAGTCCAAATCCTGGCACTGCTACTCAATAGCTGTGACTTTAGACAAGTCCCGTAACTGTTCTGAGCCTCAGTTTCCTTATCTGTAAAGTGAGGGGGTAGACAGCTAAAAAAAAAAATCCATGATCTTGACACTCTCCTTAAAAAGGAGAGCTTAAAATCCAAGGTGAGGAATTTGGATTTCAAAGCAGAGCTCAGATGTGCAAGACCTCTTTCCTGGTAGAATGTAAGCTTCTGGAGGGCAGGCATTGATGAACTTTTGTCTTTGTATCCTAAATGCCAAGCTCAGAGCCTGGCACACAGTAGATTCTTAATAAATGTTGCTTAATAACTGCATGTTGATTGAATGTTGTTGGTTCTCTCTTCCTCTTGGAATTATTTTGCTTCTACTTCCTATTTACTAATTTGTGTACAAGCTAAATTTTGCAGAATGTAAGCATCATTGAGAGCAGGGACATTTTTGTTTTCAGCTTTGAAAACATCCAGACATCTAGGTGCTGCAGTGCAAGGAACATTAAGCTGGAATCAGGAAAACCTGGGCTCAGATCCTTCCTACTATGTGACCCTGTGCAAGTTACTTAACCTGTTTCCTCCATTGTGAAAAAAAAAAATAAGGGGGTTATTGCGAAGATTAAATGAGATATTTGTAAAGTGTTTAGCAATTTACGTGGCACAGACTAAGCATTTAATAAATGCTTATTTAAAAAAAACTTTGTATTCTTACCATATTATCCGAGCACTATGACTTATACATAGTAGGGCCTTAATAGTTATTTTTTGAAGTGAACTTAATTGTGCTTTACACTTCAAGTCTGTATCATTTGACTTTGCATCATTCCTTTAACATTCATTCAATAAATATTTGTTAAATGGTTGTTATCACCCCAGCCCCCCATACCTAGAAGATTTTCCTTCCTCCCTTCCTTGTTTAAGCTTCCTGGCTTCCTTCAAGGCTCAGCCAAAATCCCACTTTTTCTGGAGGCCTGTCCTGGTGCTTCCAGGTGCCAACACCTTCCCCTCTCAGGTCGCCTTCCATCTACTCTATATATCCCATTATTTACATGTTGTTTTCCCCAGGAAAATGTAAGCTCCCTGAGGGCAGGCATTTTTGTTTGTTTGCTTAGAACAGTGTCTGGAACATAATGTTTAATAAATATTTGTTGGTTGATTGACTTCAGAACATCATTTGGTACTCTAAGGGAGATAGAAGTTTTAGTTAAAACCCTCATGGACCTAATAGTCTAGTGGGAGAGAAGACAAAAACAGAAATCCCAACAATCCCCAGTCATACTAGAGAATTACCAAGCAAATTGCTAAGTTCAAAGGGAAAGTCATTACCCATTGGTAATGGGAGACAGTACAATCAAGGAGCCCACTTTATGACCTGGGTGGTCCTACGTATTCCCAGGACATCTGAGAGAGAAGTGAGCCCCCATTCTTTTGACAAAACAACTGTTAGGCCTTTATTTCATATGTATGTATGATGAAAGACTGCTGGTGGTGGGGCAGAGCAGGAAGATTAATCTACAGCCTTGTGGATTTAACATGGCCATTACGTTTAAAGTCTTAGGGGAAAGGGGATGATGTTTCTCTAATCCCCATTGTTCTGTTTTCCAGGACTGGCTACTACATTGTCTACAGACAGGTATATAGCAGGCAACATCAGACAGTCTACAGGTGCTGTCCTGGCTGGCGTCAGCATAAAGATGAGCCTGGCTGTCTACATGGTAAGTCACTCAATCAATAAACATTTATTAAATGCCTCCTATGTGTCAGGGACTGTGCTAAGCTTTGGGAATAAAAAAAAAAGGCAAAAGACAGACTCTGCCTTTAAGAAGTTTATAATCTTGTGGGAGAGACAATAAGCAAACAAATATGTACAGACAAGCTATGTACAGGATAAATAGGAAATAAAGAGAGAGGAACCTCTAGAATTAAGATGGTTTGGAAAAGGCTTCCTGAGGAAGATGGAATTTTAGTTGGGACTCAAAAAAGCCAGGAAAGCCACTAGGTGAGGGGAGGAGAGAGCCTTCCAGGCATGGGGGCAGCTGGAGAAAATTCCCAGAGTTGAGAAACAGATTGTCTTGCTTGAGGAACGGTAAGGGAGCCAATGTGCTTGGATAAAAGAAGATATTGGATTTGGGGGTGAGGGTCGAAGGCATAAGAAAACTGGAAAGGTATTATATGGGAAGGGCTGCACTATGCAAAGCTTTGAATGTCAAACAAGATTTTGTTTCGATCCTGGAAGTGACAGGGAATCATTGGAATTTGTTGAGTAGGGGGTGATGTAGTCAGAGCTGAGCTTTAGCTGAATGGAAGGTGGATTGGAGTGCAGAGAGACTTGAGGCAGACAGACCCAACAGCAGGCTACTGCGATATCTCAAGCATTAGATGATGAGGGCCTGGTGGTATTCGAGGAGAAAAGGGGGTGAATCTGAGAGAAGTAAAGTTGAAACCAACAAGCCTTGGCAACAGATCAGATATGGGGGTGAAAGGTTGTGAGGAGTTGGGGATGACACCTTGGTTTTGAATCTGAGAGCCTGGGAGGATGCTGTTGCCCTTGACAGTCACATGGAATTTAGGAGAAGAGGTGGCTATGGGGGGCAGATAAGGAGTTCAGTTTTAGACACGTTAAGTTTAAGATGTCTACTGACACGTCTGAAAGGCAGTTGGAGATTTGAGATTGGAGGTCAGCGGAAATCCATGGGAGCTGAAGAGATCACCAAGTGAAGTAATTCAAGAGGAAGAAGAGAAGAGGTCCCAAAAATCTAGAGAGAAGAGAGTAACAGGGAGGAGAGCGTGATCAACTGTGTCAGAGGCTGCGGAATGGGCATTGAAGAAAGGTCATTGGATTTGTCAACTAAGAGATGACTGGTAACTTTGGAGAGAACAGTGTCAGCAGAATAAGGTCAGAAGCTGGGCTGCAAGGGGTTAAGAAGTGAGTTAGAGGAGAGAAAGTGGAGGCACCTATTGTAGGTAGACTTTTTGAGTTCAGCCACAGAGGACGGACGAGATATAGCGTCATAGTTATTGGAGGTGGAAGGATCATGTGAGGGTTGTTGTTGTTGTTTGTTTTTTTGAGGATGGGGAGACATTGTAGGCAGTAGAGAAGGAGTCAATAGACAGGGAGAAATTGAAGATAAGGGAGAGTCTGGGCATGATAAGAGGGGGGCAATCTGTATGCATTCTATAGCATTGTTTCCATCTAATCCCCCACCACCAGGAACAAGTAGAAAGGCCCTGATTCGGCTGTTGGGGCATCAATCGTTTGCCTGCCAAGTTTTAGGTACCTTTAGAATTCCCACAGACAGAGAGCAGCTCTCTGGAGAGAAAATGCACGCAGGATGGACAAAGAAACAGCCACGATCATTTTTGTTAAGAGCATCTAATGCTGGGTTGGGTGCTGTGAAAGCATTACGCTCCATCTCGGTATTTAAAAGGCAGTTTATTTGAAGCCAGACAGGGCACACCTCGACTTCCATCCCCTTTTTCCTTTTGCTAGTTTCCCCTGTCGTCAGGTTTGTCATCTGAAATCCAGTTCAATGGGGAAATCACTATAGGACATCTAAATAGGTTTCTTAGCTTCTGCATGGCTTTGTTAATTGAGGAAGCAGGAGGGTCATTTACTTCTTAAGGGGCTTATGTGGTACTTTGGAAAAAAAAATAGGAACCCTCTCGTGCTGGGATTTTGGAGCCTTTTGAATATTTTCGGCAGCCCTCAAATAGCAGAGCTAGCCCGCTTATTTCTTTCACTCACACTGAGAAAAATGGCCCGTGCTGAGCTCCTCCTTTACCTGCGCTCTGTGTTGAGGGTCACAGCAGAGCTGCTAAAAAGGCTTCAGTGTCTCACAATCAATGCAGCCGGGTAGCACGGTGATTCATCTCGCCTGCCATCCTGTACCTTGGGGACTTTACTGGTGTCCTGCTGCACTGCCCAAAGTGTTCTCTGCTCTTGAAATGTCTTAGTGAAGTTGCTCTTGGCTGTCCATGCTAAACAGGAGTGGTGCAGAGCTGTCCCTAAAGGGTCCTGCTGGGGCCCCTTTCCACGTTTTCACGCTGCGCCATGGTGGTGGGTTACTTTAAACTGGGAGTGGGGGGTGGGAAATGAGCCACCAGGTGGGTTGTCAAAATGGAATTTTTCTGATCAAATGAAATCATCGGATTCATGTAAAAAGTGCTTTGTTAAACTTACAGATGTATAAATGTCAGCAGTTAACGGAGATGGTGGTGGCAAGGGAAGTATCAGTAAGAGAGAGTGAGCTCCCCGATGGCAGAAACCATGTTTTAGGGCTTACAGCATGTGCCTAATTGGGAGGGATCCCAACAAATATTTGTCAAGTGCTTGATTTTTGAATTGTATTGATGATGATTTTATCCACAAGGTGCTTTATTTCGATTCGTTTCAAGAAATATTTCTTATGCACCTGCTATATGCCAGTCACTTTGCTAGGAAGTGGGTCTTCACAAGGTCAATGTGAAGAGTCCTCTTTCAATGAGTTCACATTTCTGTGGGGTGGAGACTGTCATTTAAATTACACACATACACACACACATACACACATATATATGTGTGTTTGTATATGCATATACACACATACATACATATATATGTATATTTCACATGCACACAGGGACACATACACACAAATAGACACAATGTAATAAGAAGTAATAGTTTGGTAAGTAGGGGGAAGGGAAGGGTTAACAATTAAGGAATGAAGAAAGGCCAGGTGTTGGTATGATGGAGAAGGTGGCCCTTGAATGAAGCCTTGGATGGAGCTCAGAATTTCAAGAGGTAGAGATGTAGAGGGAGGGCATTCCAGGCAAGGGGAGTAGCCTGTGGAAAGGCAAGGGATGGGAGATGGGATGTTTATACAGGAAACAGCAAATAGGCTTGAATGCAAAGCGTAATATTGAGGATTGTTTGTTTTCTTTTTCCTTGCCTCCCCCCCCCCCCCGACCCCTTAGCCCTCTGCTCAGCAGGTCCTTGCTTCAACGGAGGCCAATGTCCAGACGGGGAAGCACAGGTGTGCCAGTGTTCTGTGGGGTTTCAGGGATCTCGATGCCAATATGGTGAGTGGACAGCAGCGGCATTATTTATGCTCAAGATGCGGCCTGTGTTGACTTTACAGAAAATGACAGATTTTGTTGATTCAGACAGATGACAAGGGTCACCTCTCTGGGAAGTGTGGAACCCCTAGCATTAGCCGGTCAAACAAAAACCCAGTGTGAGTAATGTAATCAGTAATGCAGAATGTACTTTTCAGCGTAGCTTTAATTATTCACCATCACAGTTCAGAGGGCCCCAGTAAATATACCGTCGTTTGTTTTGTAAAGGAAATCCCATTTTAGCAATCAGGAGACCTCATGCTGACCTCCACTCTGATTGAAATTGCTGGTCTCTTCTTGACTCAGAGAACTGTCTCTCTGGTCTAAGAATGAATAAAACAAAAAAGCCACAGAATTCTCTTGCGATGTGTCATTCCCTTCTTCATACTCACTCTCCTTCTAGGACTCCCCTGATGTAACTTTCATTTTTCACACCTCCGGGAAACTGGTTCTCTTTCTTTTCAAGGGCAGAACTTCACTGGTTGGCAGTTTCTGGGCACATGCATTTAAGACATCGCTCACATGAGAAAGTTCCAGGGCTCACTTTGTAAGGCAGAAAGAGTTCTCTTCCTTCCTTGGGCTTGCTGTGAGATGGGTGTACTTGGGAGAGGATTCGTTGTGACTAGATTACTTGATGCCACATCTCCAGAGAACCTGTGTGCTTTGATGCACCATTTTTGAAGGAGAAAAACTGGGTTAGAAAGAGTGTGGAAGCTAAGTGATGCACTTCTTGGCATTTGCCTTTGTGCCCTGTTCCTTCTCCATTCACTTTACGCTCCTACCTATCCCACCCGCCCTCCCTCTCCATTCGATGTCCCCCTCCCTGCTGGCCTATGGACCTCCCGGGTGGTTTGTGTACGTCCTTGCTGGCCCATGGACCTCCCTGCACTGTCCTTCCTCTTCTACAAATGGCAGAACCGGGGAAGTTCACTCTGAAGGCTGATGAGAGTTCATCACTCAAGTTCATTGATTTCCTCAGCTCTTGGCAGAAGGTTAAACCTCACATTTTCATGTGTCACCTCAGAATTGCTTTTTTCCTTACATTAAGTTTGGTGCAGTAATCTTGGCAAATAGCTTATTGGGGTGAGGGGGGACAAAGTGCAAAATAACGTGATGTGTGCTTCATAAATGTTGAAAGCACTCTAGAAATATGAGCAAATGTAGTAGTAATATCCAAGTAATTTTATTTATTTATAGAAAATACTTATCTACCTGTGCCATAAGAATCTAAAGAACATTAAATATATAAGAACAATAGCAGAATACTGATTGGTCCGAGGACCGTTTTTATTTGAAATCTGTTATTCAGTTGTTTTCAGTCATATCCAACTCTTCATGTCGCCATTTATTGTGTTTTTTTTTTCAAAGATACTGGAGTGGTTTGACATTTCCTTCTCCAGCTTATTTTACAGATAATAAAACTGAGGCAAAAAGGACTAAGTGACTTGTCCAAGGTCACTTAGCTAATAAGTATCTGAAGCCAGATTTGAACTCAGGAAGATGAGTCTTCCTGACTTCAGGCCTGGCACTTTATCTACTGTACCACCTAACTGCTCAAGGATATGAAACAGGTTAAAAAAATAAAAGCCTAACCTCGATATTGGAATTAGTAATTATTTAATATATATCAGAGAAAAGAAAGCCTCATGTAGTCGGTGAAGTGCTAGGCTCAGAATCAAGAAAAACCAGATTTATACACTGTGTTTGTGACACTTCTTATCTCTATGATCCCAGGCAAGTCACTTTACCTCACTGTGACTCAGACAATTTCCTAGGACTGATATGCTAAATCATACATGGTTTATGATCTTTGTGTGGGGGTTGGAGTGGAGGGTGAGTAGGTAGGGATGAGAGTGCTTCCGTGTTAAGGAAATCTGACATCATAGGAACAGGAAAAAGACATATATTTATTTATACATTTGTTTATTTATTTATAATAGAAGAGCTGGGTGGAGTGCCAGACCTAAAGTCAGGAAGACTCATCTTAGCTGTAAAATAAGCTGGAGAAGGAAATGGATACTTGGATATTACTACTACATTTGTAATATCCGTAGATAGAGTATGAGGCCTGGAACCTGGAAGATTCATTTTTCTGAGTTCAAATCTGGCCTCAGATGCTTACTTGCTGTATGACCCTGGGCAAGACACTTTACCCTGTTTGCCTCAGTTTCCTCATCTGTAAAATGAGCTGGAGAAGGAATTGGCAAACCACTCCAGAATCTTTGCCAAGAAAACCCCAAATGGGGTCACAAATGACTGAAAAATGACTAAACAACAAGGCATTTCACATTCCTGCATTATAAAAATGGAGTCGTTGAAGCTAGGTTAGAATGTACTCCATTCTCCACCTCTATCTCTTTCCCAACTCTGTTGGACCTCAAGGAACTTTCTAAGAGCTGAAGACTGAACAGTTGCAACAAAGTAAATTTTGGGAAATTTGGCTTAGTTTTCAGTATTGTTAATGGTTGTTCAAGTTTGTTTTCTTGGAGAATTGGACTCTGGTTTGTTTTTTTTCTCTCCACTCCCTCCCAACTGAACAGCACTTGTTTACTTAAAAAGAAAATTGGTGGGTCAAAGGCAATGCTCAACATGAAGGCATAAGACTTTTATTATACAATATTATCCTTTGGTAAGATGAATTCAAAGTTCAATAACACTCATGAGGGCTCATGAAAGAATTCTGAGGACATACCAGCTAACCAGCTATCTGAAATAAAAATGGAAAATATTGGAGAAAAATGCAATAAGAAGATGCAGTAACAGTGAAAGCTTATAACAAGAAGAAAAACCAGAGGAAATCTGGGCCCTTAGGACCCTCAGTACAAATTTGGCTTTGGAAAAGTACACTAGATAGCTAGCAGGTTAATTGTAAAAATGAGTTAATTGTAGGTTAACTGTTAAATCTTCTGGGATTAAGAAATGCTTATTCCAACTCCAATAGGATCTTTTGGTCATGATTTGAATTTTAATACAATAAATATATTCATTGCCTTTGAGAAGGCTATCTACTATCAGAGTATTAGAAGGATAATTAAGTTGTTTGTGCCTTTGAAATAAATAAAGACTTTTTTTTTTCAATTCACTGTATTGGGAAGGATTGAGTATCATAAGATCAGGTCAAAACCTCCTTTGGAAAATGCACCTGCTGAGAGACAGCGTAGCATAGTGGAGAGAGGGATGGCTGTGGGGTCAGGCAGAGTCACGTTCAAGTCCTGACTCAGATACCTTGGCTATGTGACTACCAGCAAGTCATTTTATCTCTCTGCTCTGCAAGCAACTTTTTAAGAGCACACAGTGCAATAATGATAACAATAATTAGCATTTTTACGGCACTTAAACGTTTGTAAAGCACTTTATTACTGGCAAGATGGAGGATAGAGATAGCAAGTTCTCCGGACAGATGAAATCACTAGTTGGGATCAAGATGAAAAAAAAGAAAATAGAAAATATGTCCTTGTATATCAGTACCATCAGTTTTAGTTATGATTCATCCTCACAAAAATTAGCCATATTGGAATATAACGTTCAAGATGTGGTAATGAATATAGGGGTAGTAGGTAGTACAGCAATTGGAACAATGCACCTGGAATGGGGAAGACCAGAGTTTAAATCCTGCCTCTGATAATCAACATCTATGTGACCCTAGGCAAGTCACTTAATCCATGTCTGCCTCACTTTCCTCATTTGGAAAATTGAGATATTAATAGCACCTTCCACCCAGGGTTGTTGTAAGAATAGAACGAGAAGATAATTGTAAAATACTTTGTACACCTTAAAATACTATATATTATATAAAGTGTATTATTATTGTTATTTTACATATCTTATTTATAATCTCAATATTATTGTACATAGTCATTTACATCTTATTATAATCTTATTTTCTATACTTTTGTGCACAGGCTAATTTTAACATGGTACTCAGGATAGATCGAACTGTATCTAAAATGCCTGGTGAGCTAACTTTCAAAAATGAGGCTGGGAGACCTTCAGAAGCTGGGAAAAAATACCACAGTGGGAAAGAAAACAGAGCCTCGCTGGTACTTGGGAGAAGGACTAGAAGTTCATAATACGTCCAAAATTACCGATCTACTCGACTCATTTGATAAAACTTCCTTTAATAAGAAAAAAATGAAGAAAATGAATTTGGACAATTAAGAAATAATGACAAGCTTTCTCAAATAACTATTGATTAAAAGCCTCAAAAGTCATGCTTTGAAGATTAGAACACATGCAAATGAGGCTAGATGGCCAGAGGAGCAGTTATCTGTTTTTCTGGTCACCTGGGGACATAGGCAGAAAAATTGACAACAGCATTAACTGATTAATGCCAGCTTTTAAGAGGGAAATAATGAAAACATGACACAGACACATCTTTAGTTCAATTCAACAAGCCATAATTAAGCATCTGTTATGGGCAGATCCCTGTGCTAGAACCTAAGGATGCAGACAAAAGAAAATAATCCCTGTCCTTAAGGATCATGAATCATACTGGGGTAGGGGAAGGGGGAATATAACCACACACAGGTAAGTAAATACAATATGGCTACATGGGGTCATAAATCTAGATTTGGAGACAACCTTGGAGACCAACGAGTTCAATTCCCTCTTTTCACTGAGGAGGAAACTGAGGTCCATGAAGCTTAAGTAACTTTCCCAAGGTCACACAGGCAGTAAAGATCAGAGGCAGAATTTGAATCCAGATCCTCTGAGTTTACAGCCAATGTTCTTCCCACGTATTCTCCTTCTTTCCTCATTAAGGTGTGTGTGTGGGGGGGGAGGGACATATGCATAGGATTTATTTAGCACCTACTATGTGCCCCACTATGCTAAACACTTTACAAATATTATCTTATTTGATCCTTACAGCAATGATGGGAGGTAGAAGCTATTATTATCCTTATTTTACATATGAATCAGACAGAGTAAATACTTGCCAAAAGTCACACAGCTTTTTGTAAGTT